GCACCGTTATTGCTGGCTGGGTTTCTGAGGAGGTGAGGGTGCAAAGGCTTTTTCTGTAGCAATTTAAACGTACTAAGAAGGATGCTCTTTGAAATGACCTTACAGCACCCATCGTCAAGCGAAGAGCCAGCCCTAAGTGACCATGTGGGGGCATCTGAGTGCAAGAGAGGCAGCACGGGCCCAGGAGCAGGCGACAGACGGAGGGCAGCAAGAATGACTGCCACTGGAACTGGCAGGGACTCCACCCAAGGAATGGAGGCCCTTGCACCTGCAGACCAGGGCAGAGGGAGAGCAGAGAGCCCACGGGAAATCAGTGGCTGCCGGGCCTCTGGGCTGGCCTTTGACGGGAAGGGGAAAGGCGGAGCAGCAACCCCAATGCTGGCCACAGACGCACACACTCACACATGCGTCTGCGAACACATACTTGCAGTGTTTCCCCAGCATTAAGTATGCACCCCGGCTGCAGCTCTTACTACGGGCAGGAGGGGGCTTGATCGGAGGAGCTGCCCAGCTAGCCCCATCCACCCCTGAGGGTGGGCACGGCATACCCACCTCAGTGTCTTCCTACCCCTCCACTAGGCCCTCCAAGAACGGTTACTCAGTTCATCTAACAGGCTCGCAGAGCCCTGCTAGCGGCCAAGTACCTGGAAAGGCACCTCGCTCTGAAGGGAGGGAGGGAGGAAGAGAATAAAAGAAGAGCGGTATGTTCAAAGAGGGAGAGCCGGGAAGGAAGGAGGGCGGGAGGCAGGAAGAAACGGTAAGAAGGTACGTGTCTGCAGCAGCGCCTCCATCTGGTGTGTGCCTGTGTGTGCAGGTGGTGTGTGTGCAGTTCCTGCTGGAGGTGAAGGGCCCCCAACCTCTCCCCTAGGGCAGCAGCGCTATTACGCAGTGAAAGGCTTTCTCTTGCAGCAGAAGTCCAGGGGAAGACTACAGATTCTCACTGTATCACCGCCGGGAGGCACCGTTCACCCCATCCCTCTTCATGAAGGAGACGGCCTAAGGAGCATTGAAGCCAGCCTCATTCCCGACTCAGCACTATGACTTACAAGCCGTGTGACCCTAGGCAAGTGACTTAACCTCTCTGAGCTTCAGTTTAGTCCTTAATAAGATAGAATGATGAAAATAATAGTGTCTACCTTCTGGGGCATTTATAATAATTAAACAAGATAATGCACACACACAGCACCCGGCAGACTCGGTGTTCAGTGCATCTTAGCCATTGTTTCCGAGGCCAAAGGAAAGGGGGTGGCACTGAGATCAGGGGCCTGGCCTGGGGCTCTGGACTCCCCTCGGATTCATATTCTGAGGTGGCCCTTGGACCGCTCTTGGTCCCCTGTCCTGCCCCCTCTGCCCCCTGTCCTCTGCTCCATGCTGCCTTCTAAGCTCCCAGCCTCCCTGCTGCTTGCCTCCCCACCCACCCTCCACGAGGCCAGCCCCCTCCCTCTACTGCAGCCACATTTACCAGCTGACTCACCCTGACCACAGCCCCAGAGCTCGGCCTGCCTCCTCCCGGTCTCCCCAAGCAGCCCTGCTTTGCCCACCAGATGGATGGCGGTAGGGGAAGGCGGCAGGTGCCAGGGACACACACAGGCCACTCTGTATGCTCCCAGCCACAGCATGGCCACTCGGCCCAGCACCCACAGCTTTGCACTCCACCTCCCTGATGGGCACCAGGATTATTCCCCTGCGGGAGGGTCTTGGCCACTTTCATTTTCCTTTCCGTCCGATCCACAAAATATTTCCCGAGCACCTACTCTGTGCTATTCCGGGTCCTGGGGATTCACAGGGAAGAAAAGAGCTGTGGCCCTGCCCTCCAGGCTAGCAGTGGGTGAAGTTATCTACACCAGTAGTTCTCAGCGTCTGTGTGCAGCCGTATCCCCTGGAGGGCTGGTTAAAAGGTGCCCGGCTGGGTCCCAGGCCCAGAGTTCTGGCTCAGCCGGTCTGGAGTAGGGCCTGATTTTGCCTTTCAGGTGATGCTGAAGTTGCTGGTTTGGGGAACCCACTTTGAGAACCAATGGTCCCCTGCAAACTGTAATATAAGGCAGACTACAGCCTGGGCTTTGAGGCTCTGACCAGGGAGGAAAAGAGATTAGGGAAAGGGCCCACCAGGCAGAGGGAACAACATAAACAAAGACCTGGAGACTCCAGGAAGTACAGGAGTGGGGCTGGAGTGAACGGTGCATGGAGGCGTGGCGGGGGGAGGTGGGGGGCAGAGGTTAGAGGGCCACATGGGGCCAGGTGGTGGAGGGGCTAATGGGTGGCCACACCCCTTCCATCCGGCTTGCCAAACAGTTCCTTTGTGCACAGTGCCCCTGGCACCTGTGCCAGGCTCCCTGGGCTGCAGACCAAGCCTGTGTCTTCCCCTTTGCAGCTACCAGCACCCCTGCCCGCAGGCCTGGCTTTCTCGGGCTGCTGGGGCAGCTGTCAGTGCCTCTCCCCACCCTCCCTGGCTGCGCGGCTCCCTGGAGGTGCTGGTGCCAGCCCAGAGGTGCTAGGGAGGTGTGCCAGGTGAGCCAGCATGCGTGGTGTGGGTGTGGGCGGCTGAGGAGGAGGCCCGGCTATGGCCCAGCCCTTGTCTATCCAGATCACTGCCATCTTTTGGCATGACTGCCTGCCTGCCAGTGTGTGAGTGTGCACGCTCTATCAGCACCAGGATCTAGGGCTGGGTGTGTGTTTGTTGCTGCTTGAGCCAGGGCAGTTACTATGGGTAGATAATAATAGCAATCGTAATCCTTCATAATTGGACCAGACTTTGCTGTCTACAGGTCACTTCCATGCCCGTGACCTCATCTGACTTCCACAATCACCCTGTAAAACAGGCAAGGCTAGAGTCACTATCCCCATTTTCCAGCTGAGCAAACACAAGCCCAGATGGCATAAAGTCACATCTCCAGTAAGTGGCATACTCAGGCCTAGGACCTGGGATTTCTGACTCCTGGTCCAGCGCTGCTTCTCAATCCTGAACCATTAAAATGCAGATCCTGACCTGCCGCCGTCCATCGGTGGGGGCCTGGGGCTCCACAGCCTAGAGCAGCAGCAGTGACATGGGAGTCCAGTCCAGTAACAGAAGGAGTGTGTCCCAGCTGTCCCCACCCTCCCCACCTGTGGGAAGCAGCTGACCAGTGACTGCCAGTGCATCGATGGGGAGCTGCGTCAGCAACTGTCAGGACATCGGACCCGGAGTGGGACAAGGCTCGAGGCTCGGGGTCACCTAATCGAGGCTCGGGGTCACCTAATCCGACAGAGAAAGCAAGCCAGGCCCAAGAAGGGGAGGGAGCCAGCCATGGCCACAGCTGCCACTCCAGAGCACAGGCGGCTGCAGGTGTCCCCGACTCTACAGTCAAAGGGCCTGGGTCTTCATGCTACTTGAATCCTGAGCGGGAAAAGCTTAGAGGCCCACAGGTATCCAGGACTATCTGTTCTTTCCAAGGGGGTTCAGAAAGGTGGAGCCTGATGGGTAGCCCCGGGAGCCCTGCCCAGTGGGCTGCGGCGGTGCTGGCTTCCTGGCCTGCTCTGCCTGACTGGGTGCACACACCCCCACGGTGCTCTACAGCGTGCTAGGCTGGGAAGGCAAGTCCCTGGGCTTCATGTGGACTCCTGGTATGTGTGCGTGTATCCCTAGTAGGACCTATCCCTAGTAGGTCGTAGTAAGGGCTCAGACCTGGGAGGCAGGAGAACAGGCTCTCATCTGGACCTGCATTGTCCAGCAGGCCTCAGCTTCCTCATCTGTAAACTGGCACCATGTGTCCTTGCCCAATTTGTCTCAAGCATTGTCCCCAAGGACCAAATGGAACCATTAATGGAAAATCAGGAAACAAAAACACACTCTGGAGAATGAGTGAACCCAGGAAGGAGCTGAGCACGAGAGGGAGGTCTCTGAGCTGATGCCCTTCAGCCAGGTGGGGTGCCTGGCTGGCTGCCTCTAGCCCCAGAGTGCTCAGGGCCCCCACAGCTGGTGCCAGGTGTCCACCTTTGTTCCAAAAGAACCAACTGCTGCCTCCACAAGCACACTGGGCTACTCCCAGATACCACCAAGCATTACAACCCCCAGCGCTGCTCAGGGGAAGGGGAGCGGCGGGGGCGGGAACTATGGATGGGTCACAGCAGACAGACATGCCAGGACGGTCTGTGGCCATCATAAGATGAGTTTACTATTACATTGACAGAAGGCAATACACTCCAGTGCTGGGGGTTAAGAGGTAGCTTTTCCTATGGTGGGGACACAGCTCAACAGGCCAAGGCAGCCTGTGGGGACCCACCAGGGACTCCCGTCAGTCTGTTACAATCTCCTCTGACTGATTCAGGCACAACTTGGCGATCAGCAAGAGGGTGGAAAGGCCATCCCCTCAACTGGATTCTGAAAACATGGAGGTCACCAGCTCCGAGACCAAAAGCCACAAAAGATCACCCAGTGACATTCACTTGGAGTCTGGGGTGGAGGGGGCGGGGACAGGAAATCACCATCTCCAACGTGCGCTGACGACACACTGAGCACCGGGCCTGTGCCTGCGTCTGTGTGGGAGGGTGCCCCCCCAACCCCGCCAGCGGCCTCTTGTCTACCATGCCCCCCCACAAACTTGTCTTTGGCCCCTTAGAAGCTACTGAACAGCTTAAGGAAACAGAGGCAGCTGAAAGAGAGAGAAATTGATTCACCGGAAGGCTCATGGCCAGTAAGAGGAAGGTCCAAGAGGGAACCCAGGCTCTGCGACTATCTGTGAGGCCGAACCCTCACCGTGGCACAGACCTGGGCTTTCAGCCTCCGTGTGAGCGCCATGGCGGTTAACAGCCTGTGTCCTGGAGCCAAATGCCTGCTCCACCATCAGAATTCAACCTCTGCAAGCTTCAGCTTCCTCATCACCCAAACGGGGACGTGAGGGTCCCACACTGTGTGAGCACTGAGTGATGTGGTCACGCTCAGTGCGGGGAGCCAGCTGGCAGCACGTGGGGACAGGGCTCTCCCTCTCCCCAGCCAGAGGACCCCAGCAGGGCCTGCCGCTCACCTTTCGGTCCTCCTCCCGCTCCGCAGCAGAGCTGCTGGTGTCCCCGGGGCCGCTGGAGGGCATGGCGGGCGGCTGGGCGCCGGGAGGCAGGCTGGGGCTGCGCGGGGCTGGGGGGCTGCTGGGCTTTGGGGAAGGAATTATCGTGGTCTTTGGAGGCGAGAGTTAAAACTTAAACATAGATCCCGGTGTGGAGCCCTCTGGTGAACGCTGCCTCCTGCGGCCTGTGGGTGGGGGCTTCGATGGCTCCACCTGTGGGGGAGAGAAGAGGGTCAGTGAAGCAGGGCACCCACCACCCCGGGGTCAGGCCCTCAGCCCAGGGCCACACCTGGCCTGTGAGGCCTGGGGTCTCGCTCCTCCTCCTCCTGGCCTCACCAGTGCCCCAGAGAGCAGGGAAACCCAGGCCAGCTCCCCTCAGGTCACCTCCTACCCCAGCAGCCTCTCAGCCTCTTGGAGGTGGCAGCGGTCTCCCCTCTGTCACGGCGGCCAGTGGGTGCCACTTCTGAGACTTCCAGCTGCCTCGGCCTCCTCCCTTCTCTTCATTCGCAGACGCTCTCTCCTTTGAAAGCTTCCCGCATCCTCCCTCTCACCCCGACCAGCCCCTGGGAAATCCCAGCCTCCCCCAGAGGCCCCCAGCCTGCTACATTTTCCTTCTAATCTGCCCTCACCCCCACCCCCACACCTCCCGCCATGTGGAGGAAGTGAGCGCAGTCAGGATGTAGTGAAATGTCACCTCGCTTCAGGACTGGCGCCTGGGCCCGGAGAAGTCTGGGCCCTGAGCTCAGGCTGTGGCCAGGCTGCAGGCCTCGTTGGCTCTGGCCTGCGGGGAGAGGCCATGACCACGGCCACGGCCACGGCCACAGGCCGCGGCCACACTGAAGCAGGAGTGAGGTGGCTCTCTCCCCCACCCCATGAAGCAGCTCCATTTGGCTGCAGAGCCGGCAGGCTTGAGGGGTCCTCTGAACCCACTGCTCCAGGTGTAGGCCTCAAACCAGTGAAATGACAAAGCCTGCAGCTCCGGCCACAGCTGGGGTGGGGGTGTTGCTGCCTCGGCCCCCTCACTCAGAGACACACAAGAGCTCCCCTGCTCCCCACCCCCGGAGGAGGCGGCCGCCAAGCCCCTGCCTCGAGTGTGCCAGGGCCCAGGAGGGGATTGGCAGGCGAGGGAGAGCGAGAGGCAGGCTGGATCTGGGCCCACCCACACCCTTCCCCTTCTAGTTCCTGGTTCTGCTTCCCCGGCTCCCCCTCCCTCCTGGGCTTCTCCTCCCATCCCCCTCCAGCCAGGGCTCCCTGGAAAACCAGGACCGGGAGAAAGCACAGGCTTGGCTCTCCCACAGGCCCAGCCCCTTTCTCGGGGGTTCAGTGCTGCCTGGGAGTGGGGGCCCCAGCCCTGGCTCTGCCCCAGGGGATAGTGAAAAGAAGGAGCTGGCGGGTCCTGTCCACTTCCTGCCCCAGTTCAGATGCCCTGGATGGGACCCGTCCCCACCTCTGCTCTTTCCAAGCGGGGTTCTCCGGCCCCTCTGCCCCTTGGAGCTGGGAGTGATACTCTGCCCTGGCTTCCCAACTCCTTCTTAGGGCCAGGATGGGAAGGGTTCCATCAGGTTAACCCAGAAGGGCTGGAAGCCCGCCTGCCCCACAGCTGAGCCCTGAGGCAGCCCAGGTGCAGCGTCCATTCCCCTTGCCCCCAGGCACAGCACCTGGGCTCCAGGAAGACTCGTTGCCTGGGTCTCCAAGAGGGCAGACAGCGGGACAGCAGTGGCGATCACCTCCATGGGGCACACGCCGCTCAGGGCCTGGCTTGTGCTCTGTCTCAGCCGCTGCTGTGCGTGCCCAGTTTACAGGTGATGCTAAGATCAGCAAGGCTAGGACCCATCAGAAGCTTGAATCTAGATCTCTGACGCTAAAACTCTGAGGGGTTGGGTTCACATTCCCCAACACATACCACAGAAGCAACTCTGGAGAGCCCGACAGAGAACTGGTCCAATCCGAGGCCCGAGGCCCCAGCCCTCAGCAGCCAGCGATTCCCTGTCAAGCCCCACTTCCCACTGGTTACCAGGGATATCTCCAGCCATCCCCAAACCAAAACCTTCAAAAGGGCACATAAGCTAAGAGGGACAGAGTCTGGTTGGAAAGAATGCTGAGCCTGGAGTCCGTAGAGGTGGGTTCTGCTCCTGATGGAGGCTTCCCAGGCCCTCAGTTTCCCCACCAATGAAATGGGAGAGCAGGACCCCTTCTATGAATAGCTCTGAGGGGCCAAGGAGGCTGTTGTGGCCCCACAGGCACAGTGGACACATGAGGGGCTGACAAGGACAGGGCACCCCAAATGGAGTTGGGGAGACTCAGGCACAAGGAAGTGGGGTGGGAATTGTCTCAACGCTGCCCTAGGCCTAGAGACACCCACAGGGCATCTGTGCCATGGGTGCTTCGGGGTTCAGCTTTGGCTCCCAGTGGGGAGAGGAAGGGAGCTGGAGGGACAAGCAGAACCTCATAGGGCTTGGCCCCAAGGGCAGAAGAGGAAGAGGGACAGGGAGAGGGAGAAGGAGACAGACAGGGGGAGGGGGAGGGTAAGGGGAGAGGGAGAGAGAGGAAGGGGGAGGGGAAGGGAGAGAGGGGAGAGGGGAGGCTCTCTTCCTCCTCCCCTTCCTCACCAAGACTCTGACATCTGAGCTGCAGAAACTGTCCTCACAGCAAACGCAGCTGACCTGGTCAATCCTGGGTCCCTTTCATGTTGCTCATTGGACCAGCCCTGTCAGCAGCAGTCCCTCAAAATCACTCCCATCACCTAAAATCCTCCAGTATGTTGCCAGGCAGGCCATTTACTGCACAATTCTAGGGGGCCCCAGTTGGTGATTTTTTTTTTTTTTTTTTTTTTTTGAGACTGAGTTTCGCTCTTGTTACCCAGGCTGGAGTGCAATGGTGCGATCTCGGCTCACCGCAACCTCCGCCTCCTGGGTTCAGGCAATTCTCCTGCCTCAGCCCCCTGAGTAGCTGGGATTACAGGCACGCGCCACCATAGCCAGCTAATTTTTTGCATTTTTAGTAGAGACGGGGTTTCACCATGTTGACCGGGATGGTCTCGATCTCTTGACCTTGTGATCCACCCGCCTCGGCCTCCCAAAGTTCTGGGATTACAGGCTTGAGCCACCGTGCCCGGCCTCCCGGTTGGTGATTAAGGTCCCGGACCTTGACATGGCACTGCCCACCTGCCCTTAGAGGCTTCCTTCTTCCTTCGGGCAGCCCAGCCAAGGAGAGGGGCTCACCTGGGCCCACAGTTCCAACATAGCTGCAGGGGTCCACCATCCGCTCTTTCCACACCCCACCCACGCCCCACCCTGGTGCGTCCAGCAACAAAGCATTCCACCTGGGCCAAGGGCTGCACTGCAGCCACCACCGCCATCAAAGAACCCTTATTTCCTCCTTTCAGAGTCCACAGTGACCATGAATAATGTTTGTTAACAGCCACTTAAAAAATTTTCAAGGAATCCCACCATGAACACATCTTCATATCACAACAGATACCACCACCATCTCCACTGCTTCAATTATAAAACTGTTGTGGAAAAAGGATTGAAAGCTTTAAATATGCATACCAAGGCTCACTATCTTCTAAATCCAATGCAGTAGAAAAACGTTTTGTTTGTTTGTTTAGAGACAGGTTCTTGCTCTGGCACCCAGGCTGGAGGCAGTGGCAGTATCACAGCTCACTGCAGCCTCAAGCTTCTGGGCTCAAGTGATCCACCCACCTCAGCCTCCCAAAGTGCTGGGATTCCAGGCATGAACCACCACACCTGGCCAGAAGATTTTTGAAGAAGACATAAAATCGGGCCAGGTGCGTTGGCTCAAGCCTGTAATCCCAGCACTTTGGGAGGCCGAGGTGGGTGGATCACAAGGTCAGGAGATGGAGACCATCCCAGCTAACACAGTGAAACCCCATCTCTACTAAAAATACCAAAAATGAGCGGGGGCGTGGTGATGCACTCCTGTAATCCCAGCTACTTGGGAGGCTGAGACAGGAGAATCACTTGAACCCAGGAAGTAAGTGGAGGTTGTAGTGAGGTGAGATTGTGCCACTGTACTCCATCCAGCCTGGGTGACAGAGCGAGATTCTGTCTCAAAAAAAAAAAAAAAAAAAAAAAAAAAGACATAAAATCACAAGATTAGGCTGAACAAGAGAAGAAATACCACCAACAAAATTGCGGAATCTGGAAAGCAGACTTGTGACAGCCAAAATTCAGACAAGCGTGTGAATGCTGATATGTAACAGGGTCTTAAACAGACGCTTATAGGAAAGCACCAGGTACTTTGGGACTAGGACTGAGGAGGATGCATGTGTGAGAAACAAGAGGCTGAGTGAGAGAAGTGAATTCCTCGATCCCTCCTCTAAAAGTCTGAAGGTTTATCCATAGTCTCTGGAGGGCATAAAATAGGGAGTCTTTGCACAGAGAGTCAACTGGGACAGCTGAGAACAAAGATGATATATCAAAACCAAGGAGAGGAAGGTTATTTTCAATGCTGATGTCCAGTCCCTCAGGCTGTTCCTCCACTGGGCCTGAGAACACTGGCAGCCAGATAACCCTTTCCTTCTTCTCTGGAGAATCTAATGAGTCCAAGAGAAAAGGTCTGAGGATGCCAGTACCAACATCAGTACCCACAAGGGGTCAAAATGGCTTATTCAAGTCAACCTACATAGACCTGAAAAATCAACAAACCTGCTATCATTCTCAGAGCTTCCAATCAGTTGGGTTTTTTTGTTTTTTTTTTTTGAGACGGAGTCTTGCTCTGTTGCCCAGGCTGGAGTGCAGTGGTGGGATCTCGGACACTCTCCACCTCCTGGGTTCAAGCGATTCTCATTCCTCAGCCTCCCGAGTAGCTGGGACCACAGGTGCACACTACCACGCCAAGCTAATTTTTGTATTTTTAGTACAGATGAGTTTTGCCATGTTGGCCAGGCTGGTCCTGAATTCCTGACCTCAAATGATCCACCTGCCTTGACCTCCCAAAGTGCTGGGATTACAGGTGTAAGCCACCACATCCGGCCCGAATTCTTAAAAAATAAAACAAATCTTAAACAATTTTCCAAGTAGAATTATTTACTGAGCCAAATTATCATTTAAGTGTGAGAGTACAATAAAGACATTTTCTTTTTTCTTTCTTTCTTTTTTTTTTTTTTCCTGAAATAGAGATGGGGGTCTCACTATGTTGCCCAGGGTGGTCTTGAACTCCTGGTTCATGTGATCCTCCCACCTCAGCCTCCCAAAGTGCTAGGATAACAGGCATAAGCCGGGCCCTAGTAAAAACATCTTCAGATATATGAGGTCTCACGCTCCTTTCCCAGGAAGGACAGGAAGATGTCCTCGAATATGCAGAAGATCCAGCACAGGAGATAAGGGAAGAAAGTCTCCAGGATGAAGGGGAAAAAGGCCACACACCAGTCATCCGGCATGAGACAGAGAGGGCCAGCCTTCCCCGCCGAGACTCTGCCATGAGTGCCGTCATCACCATGCTCTCTGCTGTTGCATTTTTTTTTTTTTTTTTTTTGAGATGGAGTTTCACTCTTGTTGCCCAGGCTGGAGTGCAACCTCCACCTCCCAGGTTCAAGCAATTCTCCTGCCTCAGCCTCCCCAGTAGCTGGGATTACAGGCATTTGCCACCACGTCTGGCTAATTTTTGTATTTTTAGTAGAGATGGGGTTTCTCCATATTGGTTAGGCTGGTCTTGAACTCCTGACCTCAGGTGATCTGCCTGCCTCAGGCTCCCAAAGTTCTGGGATTACAAGTGTGAACCACTGTGCTTGACTGAACTGTCTTTTTAACTAACAAAACTACAGGTATCACTTGCGGCCATACTCTGCTATCTGAACCCAGGAACTGAATGGAGTTTTTTTTCCTTTTTTTCTTCTTTGAGACAGTTTTGCTCTGTTGCTCAGGTTGGAGTGCAGTGTTGAAATCTCGGCTCATCACAACCTTCGCCTTCCGGGTTCAAGAGATACTCTTGCCTCAGCCTGGAGAGAAGCTGGGATTACAGGCTCCTGCCACCACACCCAGTGAAGTTTTGCATTTTTAGTAGTGACAGTGTTTCGCCACGTTGGCCAGGCTGGTCCCAAGCTCCTGACCTCAGGTGATCCACCTGCCTCAGCCTCCCAAAGTGCTGGGATTACAGGTGTGAGGCACTGCGCCTGGCCATGAATGGATTTTGACATGGACAGAC